AGCATTTGCTGTCCAAAAGAATGGGCTGTGTTTTTCCCTGGTGATTTACATCAGAAGAAAAATGATGGAGTATCATACTCTAGGGTAAGCGAGTTCTGTGTGGTTCTAAAGCAGAGGCCCCCAGGACCTGTGAGAAGAAGGCAGGAGTGTGTGCTGGAGACCAGAGCGTGCTCTTGACTTCATTGCCAATATTCACAGTGCAGCTTGGCCCTCAGCCTAGCAAGAAGGCCCCACACCTGTCAATACCTTCTCCTTAACACCAATCTCCTCCTCAATCCTTCTTCCTTCTCAGGTCTCAAGGGTTCTGGAGGGAGGACGGAGCCAGTCTGGATGGCTGGGGAGCTCGGGTCACCTTTTTTCACGTCCACAGATGGACAGCAAGGATTTTCCCCTGCCTGCTGTGTGCTCAGAATGTGTTAACTCTGCCCCTTACAGCCTGCCTGGCACCCTGTGTCCACTCACCTCCCTCTAGCCTGCCCAGTGCCCTGTGTCCACACCCGTTTGTCAGTCTAGAAGGACGCCTTGCACTGAGAATCATCTTTCCTTGAAAAGTCTGGAAGATGGAGGCAGTTCTGGTGAGTTTTCCAGGGAATTAAGTTTCTCTTTGTAGAAGTGAGTAAGGTTGTGTGTGAATGTTTGCCCGGCCCCCCTGTGGGGATGTGGTTGTTCAAAGAAGGACGCAGGGAGAAGAGGTGGGCACAAAACTGAGTCCTCGAAGGCATCCTGACATCTTATCATGCAAGACTTTTTCTATATATATTTGTGGCCCTTGATCTATCTATCTTGTTATGAGCCATCAATTTATGACTCCTAGCGACCCTATGTACAACAGCCCTAAACTCTGCTCTATCCTGTGCCAATCGCACTGCCTCTGACACACCCATCCCGATGACCCCAGTCACTGAATCAATCCTCCTCATAGAGGGTCTTCCCCTCCTGCGCTGTCCCTCCACCCTCCCAAGCATGATGTCCCTCTCGAAGGACCCATCCCTCCTTGCAACATGCCCAAAGTATGTCGGACGAAGCCCCAGAATCCTTGCCTCCAAGGAGTAGCTTGGTTTAACCCTCTCCAGGATGAATCTGTTTGTTTTCTTGGCAGTCCATGGTACCCTCAATACTCTTCTCCAGCACCACAGCTCAAAGGCATCAATTCTCTTTCTATCCTCCCCAGTCATTGTCCAACTCTCTGATGCATAACAAGTGATTGCGAAGACCATGGCCTGTATCAGGCGCACCTTAGTCTCCATTGCATTGTGGACAAGAAAGTCCAGTTAATATCACTCTCCTTCAACTCTGTACCCCAACAACCGGAGCCCAAATAGGAGGAAAAAGAACATTTCTACCAACGTTTGCCGTCAGAAAGCAATTGAATGTGCGGTTAAGATGCATTTCTACGAATAATGGGTGACGGCAATGCACCCTCTGGACGGAGTCGCTTTCAGAGATTTGCACACTGAGGTCTCATTCTTCAGACCTAACACCATGAGCCCCTCACATGCCCCTTGCTGTTGGGCCTTCATTGAATTTTTCCCCCTTTTCCAATTTTGAGGCTTTCTTGCAAGCAACATACACATGGAGAAGACAGAGGTTCCCCATTCTTGCTGGTAAGCAATTCTTGCCTCGTTGTTTGGGGTATTCCTCCGTCTTCACCCCTTTTTGTCAGTGTATAGGATGATTCTCCATGCCCTTTGCCAACTCCATAATTCAAAGGCATCGATTCTTCTCTTGTTTTAATTGTCCTGCTTTGAGCTGCACGTGGAAAGCATCGGAAATGCCAAGAGCGGGCTCACCTTTAGAAGAATTGTTTGTTTGTTTTCTGTTTGTGGAGAGATGCATTCTGTCCAGAAGGCCATGGTCTTCGATCTTCCAACAGAGCTTCAAGGCGGCTTCATTGCCTGCGAGCTCCCTGGGCCATCTCTGCTTGAATGCAGGGGACTGATAAACCTTCCTCTGACCTGATGCCACATTCTTTCTTTTTAAAGTCCAGCGTCTCCTATGACTTGTTTGAAGATGGATAAACAAAACAAAACAAAAAACAACAACAAATACAGAGAAAGGAGGCAGCGTTCTCACAGATGGCTTGATTTTTCTAAAACACTATACACTGTTCCTTGGCTCTGTTTGGACATCACTGTTTTTGATCTTCAGCAAAACTTCAAGGTGTTATAAAACAGTAATGCTCCCAATGCAAACACAAGAGATGTCGAATCTTCAATCAGCTGACAGGGGCATCTTTTCTCTTGGGAAGGAAGACTCTTCACCAATCTCAAATAATGCATTCACATTCACAATATTCCTTATTCTCCTGATGGGAGTTTTCCATAAGGAGACGATACAGACACCCATTAGAATTTAACTTACGATTGTAGAAGGACTCAGCTGTTATATTGAGATGAGAAAATGAGCTGAACTCTTCAAAGACTTAAGATTGATTCATCTTATGTGCCCTCAAGTTGAATTCAACTCATACCCTGTGAAGGATACATCTGAACGCTCCACAACGTCAAGCATGATGTCCGTCTCCAAGGAACAAGATAAAGGTAAATAATCCAGTTGTAAAATGGGCACAGGATATGAACAGACACTTCACCGAAGAAGACACTCAGATGGCCAACAAGCACACGAAGAAATGTTCAAAATCCCTAGCTCTAAGAGAGATGCAAATCAAGACAACGATGAGATACCATCTCACCCCAGTCAGAAGAGCAAAATTTAGCAGAACAGCAAGCAACAAATGCTGGCGAGGTTGTGGAGAAACTGGAACCCTTATTCACTGTTGGTGGGAGTGTAAAATGGTGCCACCCCTGTGGAAGGTGGTATGGCGCTTTCTCAAAGAGCTGCAAATAGAGATACCATTTGGCCCAGCAATTTCACTACTGGGAATATACCCCAGAGAGACAGTAACTGACATCCAAGCAGATAGATGCACACCCATGTTTATCGTGGCTTTGTTCACAATAGCAAGGAGTTGGAAACAATCCAAGTGCCCATCAACAAATGAATGGATAGAGAAGTTGTGGTATATTCACACAATGGAATACTACACTGCATTGAAAAACAAGGAACTCATGCAATATTATTCAGAATGGGTGACCCTGGAGGACATTGTGCTGAGTGAAGTATCTCAGTCACAAAAGGACAAATACTGCATGGTGCCACTGTTGTAAAACAGGACTGACCTCGGGGTTGGGAGGAGACTGAGAAAGATGGGTTCAATAATGTATACTGTACTGAAGCAGATGAGGGAGAAAACTGTTAAAAAGGGGTTATGTGATGAGGTATTATTGTCATGACAGGAATCCAGAATAAGAGGTATATTGCAGAGTGGACTTGGGGATGGGGAAAGGGAGAAAATTATGCAACAATGAATGAATTTTATTTTTAAGTAACCTGGGGTAAGGTAGGGAGGAACATGTCCAAGAATGAATGAATAAAAATGCAACCTTTCTGTAAACTTTTATTAAAATCCCAAAGAAAATATAGTTCGTTCTTACAAAGGAGTATCAGAGACCATGACAAAACCATCATTTTCATACAGTTCATAATTTATGTCCTTCTTGATAACGTTCTCATATTGGGAAGAAGTCTGTTGCAAATAGAATTATGGTCTGAGACCTTTTTTTATTCACCACAATCAATGCTAAAGATGTTTTTATTCAGTGTATTGCAAGCCTGGAGTCTCCTGTGATTCAGGGAACATAGTCACGTGAGGGGCAAGACTTTCCTCTGTATGTTTGATGAGGTGGGCATCAGGGACACCTTGTCTGATGTACAATGTGCTGGATCTTCCAGGAATCTGTGTTCCATGGACGATGTGTTTGTGGCATTTAGTCAAGAAGAGTGGGTTTTGCTGGAGATGGCTCAGAAGGAACTCTACCAGGATGTGATGCGGGAATCTTTGGAAACCCTCTAATCCCTAGGTAAGAAAAACATCAAGATTCTGGGATCCTTTGCATGAAAAAGAAATCATTTTCCTTCCTCAGTATTGCTGGAGTCTCTGTCTAAGAAATGGAAGCAAATGACGCTATAACACAAGTCTTGTCTCTTCTTTTGGGATGTTCACATACCCAGCCTTTTCCATGAATGTCAAGCCTTGTCTTTTAAGGAAGATTTCGCTTGTTTTGTGATAAAAAAGTCCTCAGGTTTTGGACGTGTTTATATTGGGGTGGGGTTTTTTTGTTTGTTTTTTGTTTTTCTTTTCTCTTTTTAGATTTTGGACGTGTTTAAATCCAATCTTTGGTGTCTGTCTAGCTCAATGACTTTGAGGACTTTTACACGTTGTAAAATACTTTAACTGTGTTGATTGCTAGTTTAATACACCTATTGTACCCTAAAAAAAATAAAATTACAAAATCCATCTTCAGAGGATGGAGTTGGTGACCAGAAACTGTTCCTGATGATTCTTCAAAAAGCACACAGTCGCTTTAAAGATATTTCTGTTGTTGAGACTATGAGGATGATGGAAATAGAACTCTATTTAATACCTCTGCTCTTGACAGGAACAGGAAAGTCAGTTTTGTGAAAATTATATCCAACACAGATGGATATAAATTTGAATAAGTCAGTTGGGGTGGGAGAAATAGCTTTGTGATTAGTGAGAGAATTTCACCACATGTTGGTGTAATATGTGTAATTTACATCCAACGTAGCTCTTCTAAACTCTCCTAATTAAGCCCACTTATCTCACACGCAGATCCTAAGGAATTGGGTCTTTTTAAATCTATTTTTTGGGGTATGCCCACTTAGGTCATCACACACACACACACAGAGTTCCCAAGGAATTGGGTCTTTTTAAGTCTGTTTGATGCATTTTTTAAAGTATTACCAAAGGGATCCAACAGAAATCTGTGTCAATCTTCAATCACCACAACCATTTTTTAATTCTTTCCCCCCCTCCCCCTTTCTTTGACATATGGTGAAACCTTTTTAATCGCAGAATTCACTCAAATTATGGACCTAGGGGAAGTGATTTCCCTAAAAATGTCATGATTCCATTTAGGATGAAGGTCCACATCTTGGTTTCTTTTGCTGGACACCTGGCCAGCTTGCCTGACCGTCGAGACCCAAATAAAAATCAGCAAGTGTATTTGAGGTAAGTGCCGTCTGAATGGGGAAAAGTGGATAAACTCCTAGAATATCATGATAATAACATAACTATGTGTATATCTGTGTACTTAAGACTAGCTTTGTAAGTCTCTCCAAGCTTGTCTTAAAAGATACTTGATTGGTTCAATCCCGGGTTTTGGCACTAAAAAAAAAAAGATACTTGAGTGGTAAGGAATTGTGCTCACCCAAACGGATGTGGTTCAAATCTACCAGCTGCTTCAAGGGAGAAAGATGGACAAACTGTTCCTCTGATTAACTCCCTCTGAAAAAAAAAAAAAACAACCCTGAAGGGTCCCCAGGGAATCAGTTCAAACTCAGCGGTTGGTTGAAACAGCCACAGAACAGTTGAGAAGTGCCCAAAAGGGGTACAGCTCGGTCACACCAGAATCTGATCTCTTACTTGTCATCATTGATCTCAAGCAGTAATCAGTGTGTGATTTCCAGCAACAAGATGGTTACAACCACTCTTTATAAGTGGGAGATTCGACCAAGAACAAACAATAATAAATATCTTTCTGATTTTCTGAAACTTTCTGGACATTGTATAACTGATTTCTCTTATATTGTAATTGTAAAGCCATTCCTGCCCACGTTGAAGCTGTGTTCATATTATTATTGTTGTTATGTGCCATCGAGTCGCCTGTGACTCATAGCGACCCTATGGACAACAGCCCTAAACTCTGCTCTGTCCTGTGCCAATTGACCTGTCTCTGACACTCCCATCCCGATTACCCCAGTCATTGAATCAGTCCACCTCATAGAGGGCCTTCCCCTCCTGTGCTGTCCCTCCACCCTCCCAACCATGAAGTCCCTCTCCAAAGACTGATCCTGCCTTGCAACATGTCCAAAATATGTCAGACGAAGCCTCATTTTATATTTATATTATCAAGTTTGTTGTAATACAATAGCCTTACACACTGATGCTTTCATAAATCCATGTCACACACATGTTGTTCATTGGAAACTTACTTAAAACTAATAAAATAATCCAAAACTGAGATCTTGCATGAAATCAGGGCCAGTAATGGTCATTTGTGTATCAGATGATTGAAGGCGTCAAATGCCTCAAAACCTAGCACAAAAATCAGGCATGTCTGTGGTGTTTTGAGACATGGAAACAATTTCACTTCCAATTGGTGTTTCTTTTCAGAGATTTTAGAAAAGAGAACCCCTGTGAGACTACAGGCGTCCAACAGTACAGAATAACGTTAAGCCAGTTTTCCAGTCTTTGTTTGCTAAAATGCGACGCTCCCAGCACACATAGTTTGGAGTCTCCTCCATTCGGAAAGGCGTTTTTGGACTGCTTCTCCAATAGCCGTCAAACCAGATCTCACACGTCTCAGAGTCCGGAAGAGAGAGAAGCGTGCAGTGACCTCTCCCTGTTCAACTCTCCAAAAACATTCAATGCAAAGGAACCCCAGAACCCAAAGGCATGTGGGGAACCATCCGTGTGTCTGTCTGATTCAGAGGTGGCCTTCAAAAAGCATACTCGTGAGCTGGGTTTCAGAACACCGGCTATAAGAAAGATTCCTCTATTTCCTCACTGTCCACTTCACATACAACAACTCAGAAACATTCTGACACCCGCCGTCATCCTTTGCCTCCAGTTTCATATGAAACTTTGCAGACTCGAGGTGAGAAGCTGTCTCGATCTGTGGAAGGTTTTGCAGAGGGATCTGAATCCGAGACGCAGCCAAGGGGAGGCAGATTGGAAGAAGAAAATGCAATGGGGAAAGTCTTCCCTCATTTCTCGATGTGGGGTCATCGTACACACGTCCATAAGGTGGGTGAACCAAATGCTTGTTTCAAACCCTGCGGGGAAACCTTGACAGGTGCTGCCCTCTTGCCGGCTCACCCTGAAGCGAGACCATACATGTGACAACCTTATAGAGAAGATTTTAGACAAAACCCAGATGTCCAGCGTCCAGGGCAGACTCCCACTGGAGAGACGTCTGATGAAGACAACGGGTGTCAGAAGGCTTCCACATGCACCCCAGCCCTCGCTGTGCCCGCTGGACAGAGACCTTGTCTGTGCAAACACTGTGGGAAGGGTTTTACACGCCCCTCCGACCTCACGGTGCACACGCTGACCCACAGCTCAAAGAGGCCTTGCACAGAGAGGCCTTACACGTGTGGACACTGTGGGAAAGGGTTCACACTGCGCTCAGGGCAGGCCAGACACGCCAGGACCCACACGGGTGAGCGGCCTTACACGTGCGGCCAGTGCAGGAAGGTCTTTGCTCACAAGTCCTCGCTCACGGCGCACCTGAGAAGACACACTGGACAGAGGCCGTACGTGTGCAGGGAATGTGGGAAAAGCTTCAGCAGTGCCTCACACCTCTCGTAACACATTCGTACGCACACCGGAGAGAAGCCTTACGTGTGCAAAGGGTGCGGGAAGGGCTTCACGGACGGCTCAGCCCTCGCCGTCCATGCCAGGACCCACACGGGCGAGCGGCTGTACGTGTGCAGCCACTGTGGGAAGGCCTTCGTGGAGTACTTGGCCCTCAGGACGCACATGCATTGTCACACAGGAGAGAGGCCCTCCAGATGTCCACAGTGTGGCAAGGCCTTCGGCTGGGCACATACGCTGGCCGTGCACATGCGGACTCACACGGGAAAGAGGCCACACGAGTGCAGGGAGTGTGGGAAGGCCTTCACATCGTCCTTGGCCCTCACTGTCCACGTGCAGACACACACCAGGGACAGGCCTTACATCTGTCCACACTGCAGCAAGGGCTTCACCAGCGGGTCAGCCCTGGGCGCTCACACACGCACGCACTTGGGACAGAGGCCTACTACGTGCAGACACTGTGGGAAAGGCTTCCCTACCCCCTCGGCCCGCTACGCACAGACCCGTGTGCACAAAACAAAAGCATGAGCTACAAAGCATTAACCATCTGGCCTGGATCGCACCCAAGCAGACATCAGAAATGACAGATGGAGTCTTTCCCAGCCCTGGAAAACAAGGAAGGTCTCATTCACCATCTAAGCAAGAAATACTCTTGAATTTCTAGCAACCTGCTTGGTGCAAAGAGGGCTAATTTCCTTGTTGTTGTTCTTCTCCTCTTCCTTTTTAAATATATTTTTGTTTAACTGAAAGTTTACAGAAAAGCTAGATTTTCCATTCATTCATGACTGCACATTTTACCCCTCTCCCAGTTCACTTATTCTTTTTAAGGTATTCACTCCTTTTTGCAATTACCTCCCTTGCCCCAGTCTTCTTTGCAATGGACCTTTCTTATTCTGGGCTGTTGTCACTCAGATAAGACCCAGTCAAGTATGACTTGCAAACAGTTCTTTCCTTCCTCTGTTTGAATCCGTGTCTGTAATCCGTATCAGTGTCTGTAATCTCTCCACTCTTTTCCTATTCTCCTCTCAACCCGTCCATGTCAGACCTGCTTTATACCTGTGGTGCTGTGCAGTATGTGTCCTTATCTAACTGATATATTCCACTCGGCCTAATGTCCCCATGTTGTGTCTTGTTTTATAAGTTAATTGCTCTTCAGTGCTGCGTAGTATTCCATTGAGTGAAGGTACCCTTGTTTTTCTTTTTGTTTGTTGATGGGCAAATAACAATTTTGGAATAAGATTGTTCAACATCTTTTTTTTTTAACTGTTCATGCTTCATTGTCTTGACCTTCCCCTAGACCGTCTTGTTTTATTAGTGAAACACAAAAAAATTTGCAATTGTGTTAGCGTCTTTTTGTGTACAGAATGAGTCCTTTTTTCTTGTGTATGTTTCTGAATATAAACTCCACATGGAGAAACAGAAAAATAGAATTAAAGATTTTTATTTTGCTTTTAAATATATTTTCAAATTTTTTTAAAATATGGGTTTGCTTACAAAATTCATGTGCATTGTTTTTCACATTCTCTTCCTTCACATTGTGTTTCAGACAGCCACTCCCCTCCTCATATTTTATAAAATTAACACTGAAATATGACCACCATGGCTCTGTTTTTCCAGATCCCCATGGGATCTCTTCCCAATTCCTTTCCCCACCTCTACCCCCACCCATCAAATGGAGGCACATCGTTTTAATGCTCATTCTGGCTTGGACATTTCAAATCACGTACAATTTCAAGAAAAAAACCAGACTTTTAAGAGGTCAGGAATGTGTGATATGCACAGATCTGAAACCCAGGAATCGGGTCCCCCACTGTCATCAACCCTGCACAACCTTGGTGTGTCCTAGAATGTCACGTCTCTCTCTTCTTGAAAATTAAGAATTTGTACTCTTGGACAAAGACATGATCATTCACATAGAAGAAGAGGGAAAGGTGGGTGTGTATTAATCCTGGAAAGGGATTCTTCCAGGTGGTAAACTTTAATGCATTTCTTCATTTTCTGTGTCAAGAAAGTAATCTGGACTCCTTGAAAAAGAACGTGGCAACATGATCAGAAGAAAACCATATATGCATGTTGTTGTTGTCATTAGTGTGTGCCCGTCAAATTAAAACCGACCCACAGTTGACTTCTCCCGCAGAGCAGCTGATGGATTCAAACGAGGTGCCTTCAGGACTACTGTATACTTTCTTGTATTTCATGTGAAATTGCAGGAGAAATATTCACCATGGTGGTAAAACTTGAACATATTTTATTCGCTAGGAGTGCCAACAAAATAATGTGGATTCTGTGCAGAAGAACGTGGCAGCATGATCAGATGAAGATTCTAGATGCACTGGCCAGCCATAGGACACGATACCACCTTGCAAGTTGAGAAGGCAGTATTGTACCACTGACTTAGGTCAAAAGCCTCCAGGGTCCATTGTGTCTCCACATCAGAAAAGGACCTTCTCCTGTTTTTTGTTGTTGTTGTTGATTGCTGTTGAGTCTAGCACGACTCCTAGTGACTCCATGAACCCAAGACCCAATGCCTTTGTATAACTATCGTCATTTCCCAAGTTCACAGAGTTTCAAGAGGCATGTGGTTTAGGAAGTGGATGCTACTCCTGCTTCCAAACCTGTTTTCCAACTGGGAGCTCCACCAAACACTGTCTGCGTTGGGAAACCATAATGGCATTTCACACCCTGATGGCTTAAGGTTCAGCATCAAAGCAAACCCAGATTACCTCAGTACAGCACATTAACAAAAGAGTGATGCACAAAGGAGAACAATGTTCCTCCAAAATATAACAGCACTGGTCTCATTTAGCAGTAGTCAAATCTCGTCTCATGTCAAACACAACTCGTAAGGACCCTATGAACAAAAGACTTGAACTCTTTTCTATAATTAACATCATTTATGTTGATAGCCTCTCTTCTAAAATTAGTAAGTATCAAGCAGTAGTAATACTATATAAAGAGAAAACATGGACATGGTCTTAAGCTTTCTTATGCCTCTGGTTTGTTCCCGGGTTTCGGCACCAAAAAAGAATCTTTATTCCTTGGAAAGAGAATCCATGCCTGAAGAAATCACATGATGTCTATTCACATTGTTGTTGATGTGCGGCCCATGGAGTTGGTATCTGACAGATTGCTGGCTTCCAATGCAGAGAATCGGGTCAATTTGAAGTACGGGCTTTTAGGATTGTGGTGCTTGTTGCATTTCACATGATAAACTCCAGCGGAAGCTGTTGCTGGGCATCTGAGAAACTCCCTAACACTCTCAACTCTGCATATGGGGGACTCCCACCGTCACAGGGGCTGTGGACAACTTGATTCTGCAAAGTGCTTCCCTCTTCCCTCCCACTGGCTTCTGGCCATGTGGGACCTTCTCTGCCTCTCAGCCACTAAAGCTCCTGTCCCCGGCAACCAAATAGTCCACCATTCCATGGATCTCCATTGTCTTGAAGCTCTTTCTCACTCATCTCAATTTGCTATTTCTGCTCTCACTGAAATAACAATCACCCCACAAATATGTGTCTTTTAACAAAACTGAAATGTCTTTTCTTGTACTTGGGGAACTTTGCTCATGGTACCAGCTCTGGGGAAGAATCTTTTGCTCTGTGTGTTAGCTGTGGAAAAGCCTTCTTATGATCTTGCCACATCAGTGGGCCCAACATTGCTTGGAGAACTGGACATGCTGTGACTTTGTTCTGTGATTACCGTGCAAGGTTCTGTGTCCAAAGGACACCCACTTCCTTGGAAGATGGAGTAGCTAGATACCATAGTCAAGTCATAAAAGCAGACTCCAAAAGCAGAAGCAAAAAAGACTCCCCCCAAACACTCAACTTCTCTTCATCACGACAGAGAGCAACTCCTAATTCAATCTTCACCCTGTGATTTTCATGGTGATTCTGTGCATACACATCTAACTTGCCCTTCAGCAACAGAGCGAGAATTTCCTGTAGTGACACCCACATAATTGGAAAGGAATGAACACAATTTTCATTGGGTTTTTATTTTTTTATTGTTCTTTAAAATTATTTTTTTTAAGCAATCACTACTTCCTCTTCCAGCCATTGTCTCTGTGTCTGGGTTGGATTTTGTAATGCATTCAGAAAGAACAGGTGTCTAAAATGCACTATCAAGTCTCAAGAAGATCTTGCAAACTAGCAAGCCTAGGGGTGTGATAGAGGAAGTTGTCAACCAAACAGAAAGAAATAATATGATGTAATCATCTAAACTGAAAGTCTTGGAGAGAATATTATTATGATTTCACTACAATGTGAGCAACAAAACCATCCTCAAATAACTACAGTGCCTTGTCCTTTTATTTTCCTTTTAAATGGCTAAGAGCACCTGTTGGAAATAGCGTTTTTAAGTCAAGCCTCAAAAAGCAAAAGAATTTTTAGTTGCATACTGCCTTGGGACCTAATACGTGAGTTAACATGGATTATGTCATTTCAAGGAATGAAAGCCAGGAAAAATAGTTTTAGATA